CAGCTTGTCCTTGAGGGGGCCTTCGTCCATGTCGTTGACCAGCCAGTAGGGTCTCGGGCCCAATTGGATGTTGGTGATGGGCTTGTAGACCGGTTCCGACTTGTTGTCCGACCTCGGGTACGGGACGGCACCGACCTGACGGGCGGCGGCGGCAACGAGGCCGGAGACGACGACGGAGGAGTAGTGCATGTCGACGGTCGAGGAGGGTCAATTGACAGTGGCCTGGGAGACAACGAGCAGACACGAAACTTGGCGATCAGCTTGGGAATCCGCTGATGTGAGGCCGAGGACTTGGAGAGCTGGAGCTGGAGCTGAAGGGACAGGAAGCTGGCAGACGACAGCTAGCAATGAGGCTGGCGCGGCGATCTTTTTGTAGGAAAGATGGGATTTCCGCCAAGAAGGATAGCTGCGCAACCATCAGCGAGGACCCCGCTGTGGGATCCATAATCTGATCGCCGCTGCATGTTTTGGTCTGATAAAGTAGGTTGACGGGTTCGTACGGGGAAGCAATGGGTCGAGATTGGACGAGAATTCAAGGCACACCGTCGGGCGACATGCTTGTATTCGGCATGGCCGTCGCGGTGCTGCTCTGCGGAAGGGCGGAAGGGCTGGCAGGTGGGCCGTAGGATCAACTGGTTATCGGCACGTGGTGATGGTTCCGGGGTGCATCTGGCAGACCGAGCAGAGCAGGGTGAGCAAACGGAGGCTTGGCGGGAAGGGACAAGCAGCGTGTTGGTGAAGCGATGACGGCCTCTGTTGGGATTGAGCGCAGGTGCATTGAGAAAAGATGTGTGCAAGGGAAGGTTGGACGTGGGGTTCGCGGCGTTGGAGGGAAACGCCTGGGATCAGTGTGACTGTGTGAGGGGTTCCCGGGGTACGTATCCACTAGTGCCGTTGGACGGCCCCACTGCAGCTGCGGGAGGCGCTGCGTGTCGCCGGGAAGCCTCCTCATTCGCCAATTGACCGACCGAAGCTCGATAAGGAAGCTGCTGGTCGAGATGCTCTTTTCGCCGAGGCACGAACATGCGCTGCGGTTTCACTCATGGCTGGTCTGACTGATACACGAGTCTTGCTTTTGACGTGGACTGTGGTGGTTACTCTTCTTGTCGAGACCGAGTAGACAGACACCCACCAGCTTGGTACGGTCTGCAGCTGGAGAACCCTCAGCCCGGCGGCTCCTTTAACCATGTCAAGGTTTGCAGGCTAATCTTACAGTCTACAAAAGTCTGTCAAATGCGGGTTCTGCCAAGAATCCCATATCAGCTCCGCGAGTCAAGCGGAATCTGATAGGGCGACTGTCAGAATTCGGTCTTGTGCAACATTTCCCGTATGGGTCGGTATGTCGGCTGTGAGACAACGCTCGAATAACTTCAGATCTGACCGGCATTTTCGGAGTAGGCAATAACTGAGCAGCACTAAAATATAGAAGATTGAGCCAAGATAAGATCGCAATTGGATGTACAATGTTGTAGCACAGGGACTAGTTGACGCAGGTGTTGAAAACCATCGAAGGCAACGTTCATGATGCTGAAACTGGAGAAAGCACCCAAACAACAGTGTGACCCGAGGTCTGCCACAATATCACAAGCCTTATGTCACAGAAGAAGAAACCAAGAGTAGATGAAAGTGATTATTATTGGCAAAAGCAGACATGTCTGCCGCCTGAAAGTTCAACCATCCTAACGCCTCAAACGACAGTTACTAAAAGCTCATAACTCCATTTCAAACTCGAGGGGGTATTTCCACGTCATTCGAAAGGCCGTTGCATATCAAAACATGAAATCATCCACCACATCTTTCCTTCCGTCGTCATCTCATCATCATCTCAACATTGGATGAGTTGATTTAAGCGCCGGGGTAGGCGTGGTTGGCCTTGGTGCTGTGGCCGCGCGAGCGCATGGCCTCGAGGGTATCGAGAACAGTAAGGAACATGAAGATGGCCCAGATGAAAAAGGCGAACGCAACACCAGCCTGAGAAGAGCCGCAGTACGTGTTGCTGCCGCAGTTGGGGCTGCCGACGAAGACGGCGTAGGCGATGGCACCGGCGAACCAGAAGATGGTGGTGATGACGAGGAGTGCCAGGGAGACCAGCTTGTGGAAGAGGCGGGTCATGTACAGAGGGGTAAGGCCGACATAGGCAAGGACGAGCAGAGACCAGACCGAGTTGAAGATGATGAAGTTGACGATGTCGGGTGAGCGGGACCAGTTGCTGAACCAGCTGTGGTAGGCACTGGCGACTGTGATAAAGTTAGCGATAGAGCTGAGGCACGTTGGCGCATTCGGGCATACCATAGGCAGTAAGGCCGAGCTCAATGATGGAGAAGACGGCAGCCACGATGTGGGCGATGGGAACGAATCCGAGAGCCATGGCGACGTTTGCGATCCTTGTCTTGGTATTTGATGGTATGTGAGAGATGGTTTAGGTAAGCTTAAAAGCTGACGACGATGTCTGGCGCAGTAGAGTGTGTTGGTTCTGTTGGTTGTGGAGTGAGTGAGTGATCAGGGAATGAATGGGTGGTAGAGGCGGCGACGGTGAATAAGTAGTAGTCCAAGGACAAGGCGAGCAATGAGCAATGACCAAGGACCAAGCACCAGAGATTTTCTTGTCTGGGGCGTGTTGAAGGACTGGATGGCGTCAGATGAGGGCGTGTGGGCTACCTACCTTACAAAGGCGGGAATGCAAGCTGGAGAGCTGCAGCGGCGCATACGCAGTACGGTACAGGAAGATTCGGTATGCTGGGCAGGCAGGAAGGACCCTGCTGAGGGCATGCTAGCTTTGTCGTCACATTTTGTCCGTCACTGCCGTTGGGCAGGAGAGACGAGGCACTTTGCCTTCCAATAGGTTTAGGTGGCACGCCCAGGCCCCCGTCCCGAGTCGCTGTTACTGCGGACGGAGGAGTTTGCTGCCAGTTGGTGATGTGCGCTGCGTAATGGGGTTGGGGCTGGAGGGCCGACAATGACGTGGTTCCAGCTTGACTGGCTACCATGACCTCATTCTTGATGCAGTCGACACGGTCCAGCCAATGGGAGGCGGCGCTAGGCCCTAAGCGACGCTAATCATCAGCCACTTCAGGCCACTCAGCGTGGCGGGTGACTCCAAGCCCGGTCCAGTGTCCAGTCTTTGCCTTAGTTAGGTAAGCGGTGGGGTGTGTGCCGTGTACGAATAGCAGTAGCGGTCGTGGTGTCTCCCTGCTCGCATCTTCCATCATCTGCGATCCCAGCGAAAATCGCCCCTTCCTCATTGCTGCCGCCTCTGTCCCTCTGCATGCCAGAAACTGGAATTTAGGGACCACTGCTCGGGAAGCTGTTGCCGTATGGTGTCTTTGCTCCGGCGCGCCTGACGCGAGGAAAAGAAACTTCAAGCTCCTACTAGCGTCCCAAGGCTTGGAGTACTTGAGTACCCAACGCAGTCTTGCCGTGTCGATGAAGTCAGCATTGATCCATCGTCAGTGCTCCCCGGTTGCCTCTTCGTTCTCAAGCACCCCAGACCAAAACGCGGCCGAGGCAACGCGCTGCCAGATGTCTCCAGCCTTCCAACCCAATCTGGATAACCCGTCTTGCTGTCAAGACAAGCAGCTGAAACCTCCAGTTCCCTCGCTACCTCACAAACACCATACCCTCCCAGGTCCATTGGCCTCTGTCATCCACAATGCAAGACAGCCACTGAAGGCCTCTCTCCTCTCACCTCACCCCCCTCCCCTCGCGACCCTGCATGCTTGGCCTGTGATGCACCGACATGGATCCTCCTCATTGGAACAACAGACCATCCATCGTCCAACTACCGGTGCTGACCAACCACCAACCAAGTCATGTAAAAGTAGATGTGTGCCCAAGAACACCTCAACCACCTCACAATGATCTAACGCCGGCAAAGAGCGGGTCGCCGCCCGGTCTCGGCTCCGGCAGGGCGACAACAAGCCTAACTGCCCACTGCCCAGTACCAGCACTGTGGGAGGTGGACAACACCAGCGGCTCCACCGCCCATTTCTCCCCGACGGAACCCTTATGACGTGGGTCGGCCAGACAGACCGCCAACTTCCAATCGTCTGCCACCCAACCTCTCCTTCTCCAACGGCTTCAGAGTTTTACCTCCGTTTGCAGAGTTGCCCGGTGTCGGTGTGCTTGTTCGTACAGCCGCTGCTCAGCCCAGAACCCAGAACCCCTGACGCGTCCCGCCTCTTGGCTCTCTGCAACCCTTCCGATTTCCCGTTCGCCAACACGAACCCTGTGAACCCTGAGATCTTGCAGTCGTCCCACCTCTAGACACCGTGGATGGCGATCCTACCTGTTCCACCCAGATTCCAACGGAACAGTCAAATCCGAGACCGTCTGACCAACTGGCTGGTTATCATGACGCAAAGACTCAAACACAACACATTTGGATGGTTCGTCTGTGTGAGACATATCTCGCTTTAGTGAATCCTAGCGCTTTGTTTTTCATGTTGGCGGACTGATTGCGGGGTAATGGTCTGTATGCAAAAATTTGTACTTGATGTTGAACATGGACACCAGCTTGGTGTACTAGCCGTCGTGTCACAGAATTCAGATCCATTCATCAACGACATATGTCCATGTTAACAACTAGCGCATATGCAAACCGTTGCAGGAATGCCCCATCGTGGATATGTGCAGACTTCCTCTATGTACGATGGCCACTCACAATGCACTCCTCGGCCTCACATGGCCAAGCTTCGTCCGTCATGAGCTCGAGCACAGACGTTGCCAGCAGCCATGGCGCAGAGACCGTTCCCAAACTATTCACTCAACAAAACACACAAGAAAGGTCCGCTAGCGGATTGATCCGGTTGGCATTAAGCTTGATCTTCGACTAACATCAACGTCCTGTCACGTCGTGACAAACGGGTAGCGTCCATCTACCTCAGTCCACGTGCGGCGCCGCACGGTTGGCACTATGCGCAACCCGACAGTGAGTCGACAATTCACATTTCGCAAACGCGGGGATCAAGGAGCAAAGCTTTTCATCTCTGCCCGGGGCTCACCTACAGCTCATCGGCGGCGTGCGGGCCCGGACCCCACGGGCCAGGACCCCAGATGCCACCGCTACCCCTGCGCTGCTCCAACCCCTTGTTGACAGCCTTGAGGTTGTTATAATCGGGGCCGTCCTCGCCCAACCCCCATGCAAACACACCGCCGAGCCGCATACGGTCAACGAGGTCGGGGAACTTGCGGAGGATTGCATCGCCGTTGTCGTACGTCCAGAATCGCTTCTCGGCCCTGTCGAGATAGTAGTAGCCGCCGCCCTTCTCATCATACTTGCCGTCCTTCTGAGCCCGCTCAAAGGAGCCCTTCACATCGTCCGGAACTCCGTCATTCCAACTGAAGCCGCCGGTCTGTCCGAGATCGCCGCCCGTCACGGGATCCTCCATCAACGGCGTCGGGCAGCCGACTTCCAGGCCATCGGGGCAGTCCGTGGTGTGGAACCACTTGGTGTAAAAGGCGAACCCGAGATTGATCTTGTGGGCGGGAACTCCACGGGCCATGTAGTTCTCGACGGCGATGCGGGACAGCTCCATACCGGTATGGTGCTTCGTGACGTTGTCTCGGCGGTTCATCATGTCATAAGTCATGACGTTGACAAAATCAAGAGCGCGCTCGATCCGGGGAGTGTGCTCCTTGGTGAAGGCAATCATGTCGCGCTCAAGGCCGGGCGTGGCGGCCGAGATGAGCTTGCCTTTGGGGAGCTGTCTGCGGACCTCCTCGAGGAGCAACGGGTACGCATCGATCTCCCATTTCTTCTCCTCGTTGGTGATGTTCTTGTAATCCTCGCCGTTGCCCCTGATACACATGTTAGAGGAGCAAAGCAGTTGCTACAGACTTTCAACTTACCCAGGGTACTCCCAGTCCATGTCGATGCCTACGATAGTAAGTACTCGATCATCATTCTCTGCCAGAGCGGAATAAGGCCATACCATCGGCACCGGTAGCCTTGACCATGTCGGCAACGTTCTTGGCCCATTTCTCGCGAGACTCGGCGGTACGAGCAGCCGTGTCGAAACCCTTGGTGTCGCTCCAGCCGCCAATGGCGACCATGACCTTGGTGCCGGGGCGGAACTGGGTGCGGACCTTTTCGACGGTAGTGAACAGCGGCCACTCAGCGACGTCCTTGTTGAAGGTGTCGGAGTTCATAAACGCAAGCTCCACGTGGGTGATGTGAGACACGAGCTCCTTGGAGGGCACGTTGGGGTGTTGGCTGCGGCTAGTCGTTAGCAACTTCAACGGTCGATGATTGCGGTCAAGGGAGAGGAGTAACAAACCCGGTGAGGTACATGACACAGCGCAGATTGCCATTGCCGGCGTACAGCTCTTCCTCGGCGGACGCCATGGCTGTGGACGCCTGCATGATCGTTAGGACACCGCCCAGGACCGTGGGGAGTAGCTTCATCGTCTAAGATGCTGCCAAAGACAGACGGGTTCTGGAGATCTGTCTAGCTTCCGGTGGTGGTGTAGCGTGATCGGAATGCGTCGACGCGCTGTTCTTCCTTCACATAGGACGGAGGACTGTCTGTGAGTGGGTGTGTGTGAGAGCAAGAGGGAAAGAGCACAGAAATAAGAATTAAGAAAGAGGAAGACAAAGTCGATGCGACAGCGGTGGTGTCTGTTCGTCCGTCCGTTCTTTCCGCCCTTCAATTCGATTCACTGGAACTGCCTCCGACCGCCGCTGGGTGGGAGGAACACTGAACACAGCAGGGATCGGCTTGGTGCAGAAACCCCGCTGTGGCGGATGCTCCCTCCAGTCCAGTGTGTTTCTGCGTTTCCTGCAGCTCGCTTTAGCACCTTCCCGGCCTGTAATTCGATAAGACGTTGGGGGAAAGACCCCGCATCAATTAACCTTAAGGCGACCCGGCACTCGACGACACTATCTTCCCTTCTCAACTCTAAAAAGGTAGGAACTTGCGTTCCGTCTTTTCTAATCACGAAGCTTTGGAAACATCTGAGAAACCGGTGGGAGGTTTTCCACGAGCTCACGAACAGCCACTGCTGCTAGGGAATGCCCTGGTGAAGGGTCAGTCCGAATGATTCGGAATGTCAACAGCAGCAGTTGATTTGCTGCGGGATCACAGTTTGGGTTGTGGCTCACATTGGCGGCTGTGTCTTGCATCGTACTCACCAGAGCAAACTAATAGTATGGACGAACATGGGACCGAAATGTAGCATCGTCGGTCTCGGGAAACATGTGCCGTATGCGAATTAGCTCTCAAAACTTCCTTTCTCGCCTGTGGCCGTGTCTCCAAACATGCGAGCCAGGACCCTCCCAGTTGATCAGCATCTCCCCCTGCATCCTGATTCGGCACGTCGGTGAGAGCTCAGGTGGGGCCGTTTCACCTCGGTGAACGCTCTCACCTTAAAAATTTCGTCCTGATCTGAGCTTCGGTCAGCTTTTCCACGCCTTGTCTTGGACCATTCCACCACTCGCTGTCAATTGTTTTGTGTGCCCAGCGTACCAATTGAGGCCGCAAACATGTTCGAAAACCTTTGCACCCTCCCTCTGTCGGCCGATGTCTTCACGCAGGCGCTCCACCCCACCGAGCCGCTGCTGACCGTCGGCCTCTCATCAGGCCATGTCGAGACCTTCCGCCTTCCGGCCCCGGTTGACAATGCCTCCGATGCATCTGGCGATGCTGATACCAGTATCTCCTCCACCGGTCGGGGAATGATTGAGAGTGCTTGGCGCACGAGGCGACACAAGGGGAGCTGTAGAGCCCTGGCATATGCCCATGATGGATCTGGTCAGTAGCTACTGGAGAACTGCTCCTTTCGCGATTCCTCAACTAACACATGGTCTCGACAGCCGTTTACTCTGCTGGAACCGACGGCCTGATCAAGCACTTCTCTCCCGAGACCGGCAAGGTCATCTCCAAGATCGTCATCCCCTCCTCGAACAAGCAGATCGATGCCCCGACCCTCATGCACGTCCTGAACCCCCAGAGTCTCCTGATCGGCTGCGACTCCGGCGCGATGCACATTTTCGACCTTCGCGACGGTGCCCCCGCGTCCAAGCCTGCTCAGACCAACTTCCCTCACTCCGACTACGTCTCCGCCGTCGTTCCCCTCCCCCCTTCCGCCGAGAGCACATCTGGTTTCCCGAAGCAATGGGTTTCGACTGGTGGCACCACCCTCGCGGTGACGGATGTCCGCAAGGGCGTTCTCGTTCGCTCCGACGACCAAGAGGACGAGCTGCTGTCAGCATGCTACGTCCCTGGTATCGGGCCCAAGAACAACCGCAACAACGGCGTAGTGGCTGTCGGATCCGCCTCTGGCGTGGTTACGGTCTGGGACAGAGGTGCGTGGGATGACCAGCAGGAGCGCATCATCGTCGATGGTGGCAAGTCCGGAGGCGAGAGCCTGGACGCTCTGGCGTTAGTGCCTCAGGAGCTCGGTTTGGGCAAGAAGCTGGTCGTCGGTCTCGGCGACGGCAGCTTGAGGGTGGTCGACCTGGTCACCCGGGACGTCGACCAGGTCGTCAATCTCCGCCACGACGACGTCGAGGGTGTCATCTCCGTCGCCTTCGACTCCGAGAACCGGCTGATCACGGCCGGCGGCAAGACTGTCAAGGTATGGGAGGAGCTGTCGGAGCTTCAGGGAGAGGGCGACGACGAGGACGAGGACAGCGATGATGATAGCGACGATGAGGACGGAGCGACGGGCAAGCGACGTGCTGGCAGCGACAGTGACGATAGCGATAGCGACAGCGACGGTGGAAAGAGGCAGAGCAAGCGCCAGAACACGGGAGCGGCCGCCGCGGCTGCTAAGCTTGGCCCCATGGGTGCGCACGGCATTTTGGGATTTGATGGCTTGGATTAAATCGATATAAGATAATGATACCCCTCCTCCAGGGCCATCTAAATAGAGATAGGCAACCAATGGAACTTATTCAACTCTCGTTGTACAATTGTGGCGTTGCATGGAAAGAGAGGACTTGTAGGTCACATTTTGAGTTCCAGCGCACATCCACATTCCGGCCGATGTCGACTGCCGATCTTCGACGCCGGCCCCGGGGCTTGAGAAACCTCCGCAGCGGTCGGACCCCGCTCCCCGCCGATGACGACTCACTGGCAACTTATTAATGTCGTCTCGGCCTCAACTCGCAGCTCTGCACGCCATTCGTGACATGCTCTGATCGTGGCTTACACCCTGGCTCAAACAAAGACATGGATCCAATCTCACCATTCGTCTTCGGCATCACTACGCCAAGGGTCTTCTTCGGGCCCGGCACGTTGAACGAGCTACCCGGCGAGCTCAAGTCTCGAAACCTCGCGAAGCCGCTCATCATATGCTCACCCTCTCGGACATCGCTCGCGACCAAGATACAAACGAAGCTGTCGGAAGCCGGCATCACGGACAGCGAGATCCTCGACACCGCCATCGTCCACAACCCGAGCGACATCATCGGGCCCGCCGTGGACCGCGCCAAGGGCCGAGATGTCCTCATCTCCGTCGGAGGCGGGAGCGCCGTCGGTCTCGGGAAAGCCATCGCCTACCGCACTGGGATGCCGCAGGTTGCCATCCCGACGACCTACTCGGGCTCGGAGATGACGCCGATCATCGGAGAGACCAAGGACGGCAAGAAGACGTCGTACACGGATCCCAAGATCCTGCCCAAGGTGGTCATATACGACGTGGACCTGACCATGGACCTGCCGGTCAAAGTCAGCGGACCGAGTGGTCTCAATGCCATGGCACACTCATGTGAGTATTCAGGTCTTCGATGTAGGCACGTCGCTGACGAGACGCAGTCGAGGCACTCTACTCCCGTCAAGCCAGCCCAATCACGGATCATTTTGCCCTCGAGTCCATCAAGGCGTTGTCTAGCGCTCTTCCTGTGATTGCCTCGAACCCTTCGTCGGTGGAAGCCCGCACGTCGGCGCTGTACGGTGCATTCCTGGCCGGGTTCCTGGCCACGGCGACCGCCATCGCGCTGCAGCACAAGCTCGCCCACGCCGCCGGTGGCACTCTCAACCTACCCCACGCCGAGACGCATTCGATTTTCCTCCCGCATAGCATGGCGTACAACGCGAGCTGCTTCTCTGAGAGCATCATCACCAAGTTATCGTCGGCTCTTGCTCAGAGCACGGAGAGTTCTGCCGCCGGCGTTGTGCAAGGTTTGAACGAGCTGCTCCGACTTCTGGATATTCCGACAGGACTCAAGGACGTGGGTATGCAGGAGAAGGACATTGGCCGTGTCACGGACGTTGCGTCGGACACGCCTTACTGGAACCCGCGCCCGCTCGAGAAGGAAAAGATCCGGGAAATCATCCGGAGGGCGTGGGCGGGTGAGCAAGCCAAGACGGATCTCTAGATGATGGAGCAGCTAACCAAGTAGAAGTTGCTCCATAGTTTGACCAGAGACATAGCTTTGGTGTCTTCTTGGGTTATTTGTAATTCCTATTGCAATGGTTGGCTGCCCTTATCGTCTCCATTTTGGCTACGTTGTCGAGTGGCATAATCACGGCGTCTTCACTTCTGGATCATAACTCTGTCTGCTTAGTTGCCTCGGTAATGTTGTTCGGTATATTCTCTTGCATCATATCTACGCTCCTATGGCTCAATGCCTCTCCGTCTCTTCGAGCTCTCTTTCTCCGCGAAGCCACTTTTGCCGTCTTGTTTAAATCGAACCAGTTGTTCGGTACAGAAATCGCTTGATGAAAATCGCTTGATGGATTCTTCCAATAGTGGACTCTATGCAATTATGTATATTGAAGTCATGTCTAGTCTTTGTCTAGACGGTCGTCTTATGCGCCGGGCCGCGAGTAGTCGAGCTGTCTAACTCTCTTCCATGTCTCCCTCACCACTCTCTCTTGTGCTTGTCGGGCGGTCTCGGTCTCAGTGGATGCTGCGGGACTGGTTTGCATTAGCCACAACCCTTCTCCTGTTTATTTGAGGCCAACTCACCGGATTGCTAGGTACGATCTGCCACCCAGCTTGACATCTGGAACGATGGAGGTATCTTCTGGTGGGTTAGCGATGGTCACGAGACCACCAGCCTCTTCGAGAATCGCGATTCCTGCAGCAACGTCCCTGGAGCAAAACTGTCAGCGCCGGCATCATAACGTCAACTTCCAAGGCCTTTGACATACCACTCCCAGCAACCGCCCTCCCACCAAATATCGAAAGATCCCATGGCGGTATACGCGAGGTCCAAAGTGGCACTGTTCTCGTCAGCGCAAGGCCCCTGTTCCGGGGGACGCGGCAGCTCTTACCTTCCCAGACTTCTCATACCGTGAACCATGCCGCCCTTGCCACCTCTTCCACCCCTCTCGGCCGCCATGTTGACGAAGCTCTCGACCTTGCGGTGCATGTTCCCATCCGGCTTGTCGCGGCGGT